CGCCTGGTGTGCGGATCGGCGCGCACCCCACGGCAGCAGGGCCGGGAAAGGGTCGCGGGAGCGGCCGGCCGAGGCGCTGGGGCTGCGGCGCAGGGAGGCCTCAGGCCCTGGACCTGGAGCTGGCGGTTGGTGCGGGGCGGGGGCGCAGGGCCGGCAAGGAGAGTGGCGCCGGAGCCCCAAGACATGGCGCGGCAGGACAGCGAGGAGGAGGCAGCAGAGGGGCCGGGGCACCCTCACGCGAATGGATACCTTCCGGTCTTGGGGGAGGCGGCCCTCGGGGAGGTGGGCGCGGAGCTGCAGGACGGCCCCAAAGCCGGCTGCCTGGCCCTGAACGGGGGCCCTCTGGACAGCCCTGTAGCCCCCTCGGAAACCCTGACCGGGCCGCAGACTCCGCTGGCCCCGGAGGAGGAGACCCAGGCCCGGCTGCTGCCCGCGGGCCCCGGTGAGGGGACCCCGGGGGCCGAGGACACCCCAGTGCCCCGGATAGCGCTCTCCGCGCTGCGCTTCGTGGTGCTGCTGATCTTCAGCCTGTACTCGCTGGTGAACGCCTTTCAGTGGATCCAGTACAGCATCATCAGCAACGTGTTCGAGGGTTTCTACGGCGTGTCCTCGCTGCACATCGACTGGCTGTCCATGGTGTACATGCTGGCCTACGTGCCCCTCATCTTCCCAGCCACCTGGCTGCTGGACACCCGAGGCCTGCGGCTCACCGCGCTGCTGGGCTCCGGCCTCAACTGCCTGGGCGCCTGGGTCAAGTGCGGCAGCGTGCAGCAGCATCTCTTCTGGGTCACCATGCTGGGCCAGTGCTTGTGCTCTGTGGCCCAGGTGTTCATCCTGGGCCTGCCCTCCCGCATCGCCTCAGTGTGGTTTGGGCCCAAGGAGGTGTCCACAGCTTGCGCCACCGCTGTCCTGGGCAATCAGGTAAGGACCAGAGCGCTAGGTGAAGATCAAGCCCTGAAAGGACAGGAAAAAGTCACAGGCGGTGTGTGCTAGACGTCGACATGGCCCCTCAGGACGCATGTGTCGTATAAATGGAGAGATGAGTGGTCACAAGCTAAGAGGCAGTCTTGCATTAAGGAGGCTTTTTAATTGCTTTGTAAGGACACAACGTACTGAGTCAGTCTAAAGTGAACACTTCCTCATCTTGCTTTGAAAAATCCCTGTACAATTCGTAACTGTTGCCTTTTATATGCCTAACATCACAGACAACTTGCTAACGCAGTACGGAATGAGACTTGGGCGGGTGGTATTTTTGTCACCAGTGTATTCTTTGCAAAAGGCAGGTGTTGGATTCTGGGTATTTGCTTCCATTTTGACCGGAGTCATTGTGAACAGCCCCTGTTTAATTTTATGTATTAGCAGTCAGCACAGTGACTACATGGCAACGTTTTCTCACAGGCAGAATTCCCCCGAGCACTCAGCACGCCTCTGGGGCTTCCTCCTGCTTTCTCTCATCCCTTCCTTGGCTTCAGTAGCTGTGGGCTTCCTCATGACGTTCAAGCGTGTGTCGTCAGCCTGGACTGCGGAGTGGTCGTTGACGATAACATGGAGTATTACTGAGCAGTCCCGAAGAGCCTGGCACCATGCTAGTGTTTTGTATGCGCTGGGCCATTTAATGTTGTTAGGTGAGAACTCTTAGTCTCTCTGTCCCTTTTACAGGTCAGGAAACTAGGACTTGGAGGGATGGAATTAGTTTCCCAGAGCCACACAGCTTTCAGCGGCAGCATTCACATTCAAGCCTGTCTGATTACTGAATCCTGCCATTTATTTATCAAGCTCTCCTGCCAGCTCTTTAACCTGAAGAACCTTCTAAAGCATAGGTCAGATCCCTGCACTGCTTGGACTTGCCAATGATTTCCCATAGCACTTAAAAAAAAAACCTAAACCCTTTACTCTGGTTTACAAAACCTTGCTAAGGTGAGTGTTCTCCGGTTCTTTAAAGAACACAAAACTTAAACACCTACCAAAGGGCCTTTGCTGAAGCATTCCATGTGCCTGGAATGTTCTTCTTCCTTCCATCCTTACTGTTCATCAGCTCTCAGCTTAAATTTATTTCAAATGACATTTCAATGGCGTTTCTAGACAATCCCATTTAGAATTGCCCAGTTACTCTGTTATTACGTCAGTCTCCTTTAATTTTCCACATAGCATCTATCACTGTCTGCTAGGTTTACTGTATGTGTGTTGATTACATCTTTATTGCTGTTTATTATGCCTCTCCAGTCCCGTCATTAGCTGCTGAGTTTCGTGACAACAGACACATGGTCTGAGAACACACAGCCCTGTCTACGTGTTTATAACAGCCCTGCCACATTGTGGGATCACCAAGAAATTTGTTGAATAAATGAATGAGCTTCAGACTCATAGACCTTGGCCAGCTGAGTACTTCCATTTGAACCCAGCACTCAAGTACTTCCACTTGAACCCATAAGAACCCAGCACTCAAGATTTACCTTATCTTCTAGCTCATTTCACTTTGCCTCTGCTGCCACTGCTTCCGCTTTCGCCATCCTCAGCTCTCCCCTAGAGCTTGCTAACTGATCTCCTTATCTGCAGCCCTTGCTTTCCACCCTCCGTCCTCCACATTCATCCAGCATGTTCTTTCTAATATGCACATCTGTTCAGGTCACTTCCTTGTCCCCTAAAGTGGCTTCCACTGCCCTTGGGATAAAATTGAAGCTCTCTAAGGTGACATGTAAGACCCTCCAGACCTGCCTCCCTCCACAGATGCCATACCGCACACATACTCTTTCTTTGCTTTGTGCATTGCTTACAGTTTCTCCCAAGGTCATGCCCTCTCCTTCCTGGCCTTGGTGCACAGTGTCCCTGGCTTGGAACATTTCTGCTCCACTTGCCAACTCCAATTTCTTTTACAGATCTTTGCTCCTACAGAAACTTCCTGGACACCACGGCTGTGCAAGATGTTCCTCTGTAGTGCTCTCTTAGCTAGCGTGACAGTATGTCCCAGTTTGCCTGGGACTGTCCAGGGAACGTCACAACCTTTGCCTCAGCCTCCTTCTTGAAACCTTTCTTGAGCCACTTCTCAACTCCATCCCCTGAAGAATCTGCTATCTCCCTCCATTGAACCTCCTGAATATTTTGATTTTATTTATCTTATTGCAATGACTATATTCAACCTTTTCTTTTCCTGCAGTGAAATTCATGTAATATTAACCTTTTTTAATTGTTATTATTTTATGTTTTACAGTCCAGTCTAATCTTTGTCTGAAGAGTTGGCTTCAGGAATGGTTTTAGTTCTGGGTTAACAGAGAGTCGGGGGCCACGTCTTCTGGGGTTCCTCTAGTCTCAGTCAGACCATTAAGTCTGGTCTTTTTACATGAAATTGAGTTCTGCACCCCAGTTTTCTCCTGCTCCATCAGGGACTCTCTGTTGTGTTCCCTGTCAGGACGGTCATTGGTGGTAGCCGGGCACCATCTAGTTCTTCTGGTCTCAGGCTGACGAAGTCTCTGGTTTATGTGTCCCTTTTGTCTCTTGGGCTAATATTTTCTTGAGTCTTTGGTGTTCTTCATTCTCCTTTGCTCCAGGTGGGTTGGGACCAATTGATGCATCTTCAATGGCTGCTCGCTAGCTTTTAAGACCCAGATGTTATTAACCTTTTAAGACCCCAGACGATATTAACCTTTTGAGACCCCAGACGATGTTAACCTTTTAATACCCCAGACGATGTTAACCTTTGAAGACCCCAGACGATGTTAACCTTTTTAAACAATTCAGTGGCATTTAGTGCATTCACAGCATTGTGCAACCATCACCTCTGTCTGGTTCCAAAATGTTTTCGTCACCCCCAAAGGAGACCCAGCACTTACTGAGCAGTACTTCCTGTCCCCTCCTCCCCCAGCCCACGGCAACCACTAATCTAATCTGCTTTCTGTCCTTATTGATTTCTCTATTCTGGATATTTCATATAAATGGAATCATCCAGTATGTGACCTTTTGTGTCTGACTTCTCTAACATAATATCCACGTTGTAGCACGTATCAGTACTTTATTTCTTTTTATGGACAAATGATATCCCATCGTGTG